AGCTACAGAGCAAGCCCCGAGTGAGCAAAAACATAAGGTTAGGACACAAACTGTGGCAAAACGCCAGCAGCCTTGTAGCAGAAACCTGCCTCCACAAGTGACCAGAATCCTGCCCAGAGAGCAAAGCCCACAGCTTCCGGGTGCTCCCCTCCGACCACGCAGGAGATAGTCTCGAGAGTCCACAGGAAAGCAGCGGTCCTGTGTCCCTGCACTGTCACAGCCGTGCTCGACGGGTCAGCCGGTACAACAACGATATGGTGTCAGGGCATCACGGGGTTACATCCCCGGCACAGCTCCGGCCGCAGGAAGGAGGAGAGCTCAGCAGCTCAGGGATGGTGGTTCACAACCACAGAGGCAAACGCTTCTGTGCCCAGCCCACGCTTCAACAGTGCGATGCCTGCTGCAGGGTGACGGCAAGATCCAAAACTGTCCTAAGATGCTTCTATGTGTTTTTGCACGCTGCTGAGGACACCCAGAGTTATAAACTACACTGACAAATTCTGGCAAGGCTCTTAGATGCTCTGGTTTTGGGATTTGCACGCCAGCCCAGTGATCAGACCAGAGCAAGACACATGGTAGTTACAGCTGTAACTACTGGATGTTTGCACCTTCCCGTGAGCCCTCAGGGTCGGGATGCAACAGAAACACAATTCCTGGCAAGGCCTCAAGTACCTTCCTGACACCTCATGCTGTGAAGCCAACCTCATGACAGTCGTGCCCCTCAGCAGGCAGGAGTCCTGGTCCTCTCCAGCCACCCCTCGCAGGCAGCTGCTCCAAGGCTTTCTGCGCCCTGCTGCTGCTGCCCGGCCCCGCTCCAACAGGCAGCTCCGAGGCAAAGCTGCTGCCTGCGACTGGTACAAAACACTAAGGAAGCCCAGCAAGGGGTAAGCAGTTGCTGGGATGGATGAGCTGTGCTCAGCAGGGCACAGGGATCCTGATATGAGACCTCTCTGCTCCAGAGCCAAAACAACCCCTGTGGTTAGCCCATTTCCCAGGCCTGAATCACTCCCACACTTCTCTCTTTTCCCCAGCACAGGCCCGGGAGAAAAAAAAACCTTGGCAGAAAGAAGAGCAGCCCCTCTCCTCCCTCCCCGGTTTACTCCAGCGCCTGAGGTCAGCACAACAGGAAAGGAGCACTGGGAACCCCCAGCTGCTTCCTGACGCACCCGGCCAAGTTCATTCTCTGCCGTTAAGCTAACAGCAGCTATTTCCTGCTCCGCCGAGGGCCCAGACACCTTTGCGGGGCAGCGCATCGCCCTGCCTCTCTGCAGGACTCCCAGAAGAAACCACCAACAGCCCTCTGCGAGAATAAAGCAAAAAGCAGCCGTGCGAAAAGCTAAAGGGAGGAACAAGATAAAGCCCATGTGGAAAGTGGGACACAAGGCACAGAGAAAGGGAGAAATTTCTCCACAGTCAAGGGACGGCAGTGGGTCGTACCTGTGCGGGGGGATGCAGGGCACAGAAACCACAGGCGCTGCGGCTCGTTTCTCCGCCAGGATCTTCCGTGCCTTCTTCATCTTGATCCTAGACTTGGCCTTTGCTTTTTTGACTTTCTCAGAGCTCCAGCCCTTCCCCTCCTCCTCCTCCTCCTCGTCCTCCTCTTCCCCCTCGCTGTGGGAGAGGGCGGGAAGCCTGCGCACGGAGCCCGGCGGCGTGTGGATGTCGCAGTAGGCGGTTTTGCGCACGCTGAAGGAGGTACCGTTGGCCCCCGTCTCCCGGACGGGCTCCATCTTCATGTACAGCCCGGCCTGCTGGGCGCAGGTGACATGGAAGGCGGTGTAACAGTTGGCTTTGTGGCACTGGATGCAAGCCCCGGAGCCGCGCTGCTTGCAAATGTAACAGGTCAGCTTCCAGCGTGCGGGCGGGATGTGCTCAATGCTGTCGATGGGCTCCAGGAAGACAGTGTTGGCAAAGCACACCTCTGGGATCCAGAGGGCACAGACCACGTGTGCCCAGCGCCCATCGTCCGTCTGCTTGAAGGCCCCCCCCTTGTTCGGGCAGAGAGCACAGTCCACGGCTCGTGAGGGTGACTGCAGGCACCGTCTGCAGAGCCACTGTCCCTCCGGGATGTAGGGCACCCCGTAGCACTCCTGATGCACAGCCAGGTTGCACATGTCGCAGAAGAGGATGACATTGCTGTTCTGACACTCCCCATCGTTGCAGATACAACAGACAGCATCCTCATCCACCAAGGCATTTGGATCCCCCTTGTTGTGGCTCTCGAAGTAGGACTCCTTCTCCAGCCGGTCCATCAGATACTCAAAGATCTCCTGGGGAATGGGACTCACGCCTTCAGTCTTCCGCCGCTCATTCATGATGTCCAGCCAGATGTAATCTTCCTCGTCCATGTCGTACTCCACCTCCTCATCCAGCTCTTCTGCCGACTTCTCGATGTACCTGGAAGGACAGCACGGGAGGGTGAGGGCACAGCTGGCGGGGACTCAGAGCTGCTGAACCCTAACTCCCGCAGGCTATGGCTGAGGAAACGTTTAAACGCTACAGCCAAGACCCAAGTGAAATAAAACCCAGGGATGAGGCAGGAACGTGCAGAAGCAGGAGGTGCTGCTGCACCCCCAGCAGCGCAGTGGCACAACAGCGCATTGGGCATGACACAGACAAAATAACACTCGTCTAATGGACGAGGTAAGGGCCTTGGAGACTCATCAGCGCAAGATGGGAGCCGGCACGAGCCACCAAGCAGGTGCCAAATGCTCTGGAGACAGCAGCCTCATGCCTAAGACACAACAGCAACCAGGAATGGAGGCACCATGTTTCGTTAATTCTGGCAAGGGCGGCTGCACCCTCTTCTCTTTCACTCTGAGTTGTGGGTGAGGGGATGTTACTTAGAGAGGAAAGAGCTGGAACCCCGAGGCAACCACCTCCCACCATCGCAGATGCCTCAGGGGAAGGTTTCTTTTCTAACACCCTGACATGAAATAATGTCATTATCCTGTCCCTGGAACATGACACTGGTTTCTCAGGGCACGGGGCGACTAGGACAGCTGGGGTGGCCACACAAGCGTTACTTTGGTTCAGTATTAACTCCCTGCTTGAGGTGTTACTTTGGGCCACTGAACTCACCAAACCACTCATGGAAAACTGTAGGACAACAAGGAGAACTAAGCCCATAAACGGACACTTCTTACAGGTACACCTTGGTGCTGGGGGGCTCTAGAGCTATCCCAGCATACCTCCGAAGAGCAGTATGGAAGGCAGAAGGACACATTCGTTTTTTGTTACGATTATACATGCCGTCCCGGCAAGGAACGAGCGCGGCAATCCCAGCAATGACCTAAGCAGCAAGCGAGAGCTCTACAGGCACACAGACCCCTCAAAACCGGGGTGCGATGCCAGACAGAGCTCCCAGAGCCTGAAGCCATGGGACAGCCAGCTCTGCGGGACCCAGGAGAGGCAGATGGAAGCCATTTCCACGAGCCACGGACAAGCCGCCTGCACAGAGCGGGGCCAATTCCACCTCCAGACCCAGGACACGAGCTAGAGCTGCCTGGGAGCCTTTTCGCGCCCCGGCCACGGACAATACCTGTAGTAAGAGGTGGGGCGAGGTGGGGCGTCAGGGGTGTCCTGCTCCAGCTCCCGGTACACCACCTCGGGGAGCTTGGGGGTGGTGCCGGCCGAGGCGTTGTGGTGATGGTGGTTGGAGTCCTTGCGCTTCTCCTTGTTCTTGTGCTTGCCGGATTTGGGCGGGACGCTCTGGGTCTCCGTGTTCTCCTTATTGCTCCCGTTCTCGGGCACCTCCTCGGGAACCTCCTCGTCCTCGGACACCACGTCGAGGTTATCGAAGATGCTGATGCGGTGGACGCGGCCGTGCAGGTCCACCTCCACCATGCGCTGGGCCTGGGCGTAAGTCATCACCTCGCGGCCCGGCGACTGGGAGGTCTCGGAGGGGCTGGGCGACTGCTTGTTGGCGGCGCGGGCCTGGCGCCCCTTCTTCTTGTGCTTGCGCAGGGGGGTGTGCTGGGGCGGGGGGGGGTTGTCGTGGTCATAGTGGTAGAGGTGGTACTCGATCCCGCTGTAGCTCTTGTAGATCTTGCGGCAGGTGCCCACCGGACACTCGTAGGGGGGTTTGGTGGCCCGTAGGTTATGGCAGAAGGTCTTCACGTCGAAGTCTACGCCCATGGCGTCGCCCGCCCGAGCGGGGCTGAGGCGGGGGGGGCTGAGGCCAGGCCGGGCCAGGCCAGGCCAGGCCGGGCCCC